CCTGACCTGATGCGTGATGTCGCCAAATGGTCTTCTCAGTGTATGTCCAATCCAATCCATCTCGATTTTCTTCCTCTGCATATTTGTTGGGTGATGGGTTCTTCGTTAGCTGGTTCGTTGCCAGCCAGAGTTCCTTGTTACTTATTTTTTCTGGCTATCTGATCTGATCTTCAGTATGGAGTGAGTGTAGGCGGCATGTGTTTATGTATGTCTGTAGTTTGTTGGGAATGCTTTTCGTTACACACTAAGTCTGTGAACCATCACAATGAAGCAGTGAGTTGAGTGACTTAGTGTTGAAAATCCGTATGTTGTTCACACTTTCTGGGTGAGTGTAGTGGAGTATATTTGTACACTGATAATTTGAGTGTAATGAAGGGAGGTGTGTCTTTGTGTGTTTCCGATGGTGGCTGGTTTGACATGGTTATGTGTGCGTATTCCGTGTGTAGTTGAGATGATGCTGCCTGAGGAGATAGGTAAGTAGGTGGATAGGTATGTAGGTGCGGGAAAGAGACAACTTGGTTTATATTTCTTCCGTTGATGGTGTATGTTGCTTGTTGTTGGATGTTGGTTAGGTATTATGATCACCTCTTTGTTCTCTACGTTCACTTGAGGTAAGTTGCGTGTTTGCTGCTTCACCTCGCCTCTTCTGTCAGTATGTTAGTTTTTGGTTGTAGAGTTTGTGGGACATAAGACATTAGACGTGAAGCATGATGGAGGGGATGGATATGTTGTAGGGTGTTTTCATCAGTGAAATAGCCTATGCTGATGTTCTCGCTCCTCAGGGTTGTTTGTTACATGATGCAGTGGAGTCGAGTCTAGTGTAGTTTAGTCTAGTGGAGTCGACGACACTGAGGAGGAGGATGATGGTTGGTGGGTGGGTGGTAGGCAAGCTTGTCAAGCAAGCTTGTTTTCACTTGAAAGATATCCCTGAGCTTTGTATTGTGAAGCAGTTGGCATGTGGCATCATGATATGGGATATAGGTGGTGTTGAATGAGGTTGATAAAGGTTTTTGGCACTCTGTTGTATTGTAGTTAATTGGTATTCAAGTTTTTCGATTTTTGCGGTCTCTCTGGATAGATCCTTGATAAGTGTAATAGCCCTTTGGTCTCGAGATAACCTTGTTTTGGGTAGTGAGCACTAGTGATCAGTGTATATTTCGTATCGGATCAATGAACTGGAGCGTTTTTATTGTTGTTAAACAAAAATGCTTACAGGAGATTCTTGATTTCGAGGTCGCTTGTTTACTGTGAATTTAGTGGTGATTGGTCTAGGTAATTGACTGTCTATTGATGCATTACAGGTTCGAATACTCCTTCAACTATATATTTTCGTAGGCAGCCAGCTGATATCTTTAGTTCGCATCCAAACGATTTGGCTCATGACCTAATGCACGGAAGTACACATAGTTACGGAGAGATAGGTTTAATGTTTTTCTTAGTCGATTGTTTACTATACTAAATGAGATATGTCGCTGTTGGTTTAAGTATTGAACATCCGATCTACGTACTTTCACTCCATTTTAGTCTGTTTATTAGAAATATTACACACAGTGAAGGAGGAACAGTATCATTTACTGGATAACGTACTATTCAGACACAGGTTATTGTCCATATTCATATCAGGTAACTAACTCCACAACTTCGAGATAGACTTCATATATTCTTAATTTTCTCTCCTTCTCTGTGATGACAAGGCTAGTAGACAGGTGCAGAATCATTCCTATTACTCCAGGTATTTGGTGTTGATTGGAGAAACAAACATTCAGTCGGTTATCAATCTGTCCCTCCCTCCACCCAACTAACTTAGTCTATAATGCTGTCACTCTATCCCATCCTACTGTGTGAGATCTATGTATCTTGGTTTAGCTGAGTTTTTATGCTGTGTTATTCTAATCGACCCTGGTTGACTACTTTGACCAACCTATGTACTTGACCTCACAATCATTGCAAGGGATTTGGTGAACCACATTATTTTGCTTAATTGCATTGAAAGTATATTTTAACCTACAAAGCTTGTTTTCAAGTGAGTTTGTTGATTTGAATGCCAATGCAATCCCGGCCAGCCTTGTTGAGTTTATATATTCCTTATTTTCTCCCTATGATGACAGGAGGCACCTCAGAAGCATTACGAAGAATTCTCAGTTAAGGATGGCTGGGATTACAGTGACTGGTATTTAAAGCAACAAACTCACTTAGAAACAAGCTTTGTAGGTTAAAATATCCTATTGATACAATTAAGCAAAATAATGTGGTTCACCAAATCCCTTGCAATGATTGTGAGGTCAAGTACATAGGTTGGTCAAAGTAGTCAACCAGGGTCGATTAGAATAACACAGCATAAAAACTCAGGTAAATCAAGATACATAGATCTCACACAGTAGGATGGGATAGAGTGACAGCATTATAGACTAAGTTAGTTGGGTGGAGGGAGGGACAGATTGATAACCGACTGAATGTTTGTTTCTCCAATCAACACCAAATACCTGGAGTAATAGGAATGATTCTGCACCTGTCTACTAGCCTTGTCATCACAGAGAAGGAGAGAAGATTAGAAATATATGAAGTCTATTTCGAAGTTGTGGAGTTAGTTACCTGATATGAATATGGACAATAACTTGTGTCTGAATAGTACGTTATCCAGTAAATGATACTGTTCCTCCTTCACTGTGTGTAATATTTCTAATAAACAGACTGAAATGGAATTACAATCCACCTAAGTGTCCAAGGTGTTTACTCTTATCATTAATACGTATTTTGATCCTTGACAACTCAAATAGAATCAGTGCTCGATTAGTCTTAGTGAAATGGCTAGAAATTGGTCACAGTGTGTAGTATAGATGTATTCACACCTTGACATCTAAAACTTTATATTACTTTGATATCAATCGCTTTGTATCCACGTGTTGCTTGTGTGTGTGTGTGTGTGTGTGACTGTGAAGTGTACATGTACCAAGTTGAGTGATATGATATGTATGTTTTTACTAGACTATGAACGAATATCTGAAAGATTTTTGGTGATGGCTTTCAATTATTATGATTTCTATGTTTATCAAATGTGTGATTCTCTACAGCTTTAATAGCTTGTTTGTAAATATTCATTCACCTGTAAATAAGGAGAGTGTTCAATCATGATTTGATTGATTCCATGTTTATTTATTTGTTTTTTTTTGTATAGTTTAATTACTTATCAGCTTGGTAACAGCTATATGAATTGATAAATGTTGATTCATGCATGAGATTCTTACCAATTAAACTTTCAGTCATATCTGTTACTTTCTATTTTTTTGAGGGGGTTGTGGAGATTTGGAAATATTTCAAGTTGTTATTCATCGAAGACTGACATCAGTTGGAGGAACAAAGGAAACCTGGGAGCACTGGTCAGCTGTTTCGTCCAACTAGTATGGGACTCCTCAGCAGTGCGCACCCACGACCCCGCCAGCCAGGGATCGAACCCGCGACCTTCAGGTTCCGCGGCCAGCGCGTTACCACTGATGTCAGTCTTCGATGAATAACAACTTGAAATATTTCCAAATCTCCACAACCCCGTCAAAAAAATTTAATTGAACTGGTGCTCATTGGTGACTAGCTTCGAGAAGTATTCCCGAAGTTCCAATGACAAGTCGTGACCGGTGGAGTCAAAGCCTGATGGCCGTGAGGACAAATACTCAACGATGACATTGGGTGGCGGTTTGCACTATATCGTGAGCTAACAGAAGTTGGAAATATGGAGCATTGGATTCTGGCCCAGTGGCTCAATGGTAACGCGCTGGCCGCGGAACGTGAAGGTCGCGGGTTCGATCCCTGTTACTTTTTAGTTAATTCACTTTTACTGATCATTAATCCAATTGTGAAAAAATATTCAGAGTACACCGTACAAAATATTTACAAGATAATTAATATACCTAATGTTACGCTGAACCGATGAAAAGAGCCTCGAAGATTTGGATTTCTCCGATGATGTATATCTAATGTTGCACAAACTCGAAGATCTACAGGGTGACAAGTTGATAAAAAGGGTACCAAAGACGGGACTTCATTCACGTGAACGTGGAGAAGACAAAGGTGATAAAGATACCCAGCCAGAAACAACAAGCACCAATAACTATCAACGGGAGAGAAACCTAAAGGAAGTAGTCTGTTCCACGTATCTAGGCAGCATCGTTTCAATCGTAGGCAGTACAGATGAGGATGTGAAAACCAGGATCTGAAAAGCAATACAGGCTTTCATTAATCTGAAATCAGTGTGGAGATCTTCTGCACAAAATCCGGATTTTCAACACCAATTCAGTCAAGTCAGTACTTCTGTATGGTTCAGAAACTTGGCATGTCACGAAAACCACTTCCAACAAACTACAGATATTCATCAACAGCTGGTGTCTACGTTCACTCGATACTGAAGATCAGATGACCAGATTAATAGGAATAAACAACAAAGAATTCTAAGAATGAACCAACCAACAACCTATCACCTAACAAATATGCAGAGGAAGAAAGTGGAGATGGATTAGGCATACGCTGAGATGACCGATTGGAGACATCACGAGCCAGGCCAGGCCATGGAGTAGAATCCGTAGGGGAAATGACGAGTTAAGCGTCTGACGTGAAGGTGACATGGAGGAGATGGTGTGAAGAAGAAATGAAAGCTTATGAGCAGTCGTGGAGTGTACTTCAAAAGACTGCAGAGAAGACGTGCAACGGAGGCGTGCTACTGAAGCCCTGTGTTCCAGTAGAAATCCAAAGAAAAAGTAATGATCATAATGTGTTTCAGTACATATTATTCTTATAAAAACATTCTCTATTTATAGTCTATAATAACCTTGAAAAACAAAAAAAATAATTGATGCATTTAAAGAAGTAGGAGCCAATCAGAACGCTAACAGGTTATATAAAATATGACTCATATGTGAGAAAAATATATACACTTTGTAAGTATGAGGTGATGTGTAGAAGAAATTTGAAAAAAATTTTCATTTTTTCCCCTTATTATTTCCTTTTTCTAGCTTAAAAAAATTCAAGAAAAATTAGTCAAAGCTGAGAAAGATGTTCAACGAACTCGTAATGCATATAAAATGGCACTAGCTGAATTAGATTCTGAAAGTGCACGGTATGTTGAAGAAATGACTAGAGTGAGTTTTCTTTCATTTATCTATTCTAATCATTTCTTTCTTTTTTTCTGTTAGAATATTTACATGGAAATAAATTAATTTTACTTGTATTGTTGTGTTTATCGTCTAACTGAGTCGACTTTCAACATCATCCAGGCAGATCAGAAAGACAAGGGGACTTATTGTTTGTGGAGAATAAGGACCGACCGTAGAAGACATTCAAGAGAGCACTTTCATAAACAAATGGAGTCATATAAACCAATTAATGCTTGGAACAAACACCTAAACTCCGCAATCACTAAAAATTACTTGCCAGAGAGACCCTAAGAATCACTTCGATTTTGTTGTAAATTAAACCTGATGGCTTTGTGGTCAGTGAAATCTCTACACGGATACAAAAGGCTCGGTTGGCTTTTGCCAACTGTGGCGCCGCCGTGATATCCGATTGTCTACTAAAGATCGCATGTACTGCACAGCAGTTCGATGTGTTCTGTTGTATGAGTGTGAAACATGGTCATTGAAGGTGAAAGACATGAGAACGCTGTGGGTTTAGGTGTTGTTTGACCGCCGTTTCCTTCGTAGTGTAGGCCGTATTCTGTGATGTCACCAGGTGAGAAGTCAGGTATAGGTGTAGAGTTTTAGGGAGGGAGAATAGTTAAGTCGGTTGACGAGGTTGTGAACCTTGATGGAGTGAGATGTGTGGTTGGGACATGTGTTACGTATGCCTAGTCACGGATTGCTTCTACACACAACGTTGGCCGAAGTATGTGTAGGGTGGAAAGAGGTCTGAGGTGGCCAGACTAATTGATGGGATGAATGTATGAAGTGTTTGAGTGTTTGTTTGAGCCAAGTGGGGTGATGCAGACTAGCCAGCCGGTTGGGGTGGGGTGGGGGGGGACGAGAGGAAGGAGTGGTTGTAGACTGACTGTAGGTGATATGGTTGAGAACCGATGTCGTTGGCGCAGATGTATACACACATTATCTAGTCTTATCTTAACGCTACACGGAGTCTCACCATTTTGTCATTCTTCGTTTCTCTTTTCTTACTTTGTATTTCTTTTGGTGGCATTCTCGTTTCTTCATGTTGCGCCTCACTGTGTTTTACTTGATGTGGTGATATGAAGTGTGTGAAGTGGGACCGTTACGCAGTAATACCTGGTCCTAGGTTGATCCGAATGGATGGATCGATGGATGATGTAAATTCATGCTTTCCTAATGGTTTACATTCGTAATTACATTTACAATACTTGTGGATTAGTCATACTGTGTTGTAATGACTTGACTGCTGTCAGGAGTGTTATAAAGTAGTAGGATTTAATCCAATGGCTTACTGAAACCTGGAACCTGCCTCTCAGTGAGTTGTGTTGTTCCTATCGGGATTCGAATTCCTGACCGATCACTTCAAACCCCAGAGTGCGTTATTCACAAGACCACTGAGTTATGTGGCTAAAAAATAACTTTTCTACTGCTATTATCCTTTCGTTGGTCATCAATATAAAATTGAAAGACAGCTATTTATCGAATCTTTGACACAGGAGCCCAATAGAGAACTATCATTTCGGTTCAATCAACAACGCTAGAATACAAGGAACAACATGAGAAAATACTGTTTAAACTTTATTGGTTTCCTGACTGGTTACCACTTGTGGCTCCAACTCTGTGTGTGTGTGTGTGCGTGTGTGTGTGTGTGTGTAGCTGGATCGTTTCATCATCAGGTGATGACTTATTGTACTAATATTTGGTGTCAGTGTACTAAAATTCACGTGACGAAACGAAAGAAGCAGCTAAATAGAACTCTATATATCACACTTTTAGACTGTATATGCAGTTTAAGCAATTACCTAAGTAATCATAGTATGCTTAACTTGTACTATTTTCTATGCCATAACGTTTTATTGATATAGTTGTAATTGTTTGTTGTTTATCTTGGAACGAATTATTCGACCACTGTTAGCACATGGATTCCTATGCGGATCCCTCAATATTACGTAAATGTTAACTATGATAATTTGGTTGGTTGTGGCTAACGGGAAAATCCAACTTGACACGCGTTTCTTTCTATTTAGGACTCAAGTGAAACTCGAGTCCCGACCGGAAAAACATTACTTACACTGAAGATAGGTATATCCAGCCGACGAGTCCAAAATGGAACGAAATGTGCGTCCTGCATTCCATTGCTAGCTACAACCAAGTTAATTACCATAATTAGCCTTCAGACACTATCGAGTTGTCTGCATCACATACAGGAGCCTATATACCAATAGATGTCGAACAACGCGATCCAGTGAAACAACAGAGAAATACAAGTACATGAACAAATACTTATAACTAATACCTACTATACAAGAGGTGGCTATTATGCCTCATTAGCCTAATGGATAACGCTTTGATATTAGTAATGATGGGGACGAGGTTCGAGTCCCGGTGTAAACAATATCACTCCACACTGAGGTCCAGGTACATCCAACTGACAAGCGGCAAGTAGGTCGAAACACGCATCCTTGATTCGTCTGCTAGCCACAAATGAGTAAATATTTTCTATACTCTTATTTCTCAGATTTGTAGTACATATTTTCTCCTTCAAATGTTTGTATTTTTCTGGTAATTGTTTAAAAAACAACCACATCTGATATAAACAAGACGATACATTTAAAAGTGCACGTTTTGTTTAAAAAATAAGACAATAAAAGATATCCATTGACTCGTCAACTGAATGTACGTGCTTCCGAGTGAATGGATAGTGGATAACGCTGTAGGATTTGAAGTGATGGATAAGAGTTTTGAGTGTTGATGGGAACAACATCTACTCCGTATTGGGGGGCGGGGGGGGGGGTGCAGGTACATCCAGATGATGAGTCCCAAATAGGACGAAACGTCCACCATACTGGATTCCTCTGTTAACCACAACCAAGGAAATTAGCATAATTAAAATTGGGGCAAAATTGAGTCATCTGTATTATTATTTGTCCCTTGGATTCCTAATGGAACATAAGGCCTCAGAAGTACGTCCCCAGTGCACTCTGTTCTCTGAAATCTTTTGAACCTGACTCCACGACAGCCAACAAGCTCTCATTTCCTATTCGCACGATCTCCTCCATGTCACCCTCGGATTCCCAACTCATCGCTTCTCATCTGGGTTCCACTCGAGTAACTGGCGTGGTGCATGATGTCCCCAGTCTGCCTTCTCAGTATATGCCCAATCCATCTACACTTCCTTCTGCGAATCATCTGTATAGGAGGCCATAAGCCAATAGATGTCGAACAATTTGATGGAATAAAACAACGAAGAATTAAAAGTATATGGATAGATAGGAAGGACATATTTTCTAATTCTGTAGAGGTAACTCTTTTGTTTAACTTGAACACTTCAAAGTTATTCTGATAAGTATTGGAGAAATAGTCAATTTTTTCAACTTCTCTCAACTCATCCATTATACATCTAAAAGAATGAAAAAACGATAAGTACTTTTTAAGGGTCCATAAGAAACGTAAAATGGTATCATACTGTAGTGAATGTTGATTAAGTTAGCCGGATAGTTCACCTCTGGCATATATACAAATTAAACTGAACGAAATGATTTGAAAAGCTATATCAATTGGTATCTCTTTCCTCCAATCAGGATGAAAATGGAGCCTAGGATTACTGCGTAACGGTTCATGTGTGCCACTATAATTGACTCTGGGATCGCAACCAGAAAGTGTTAATTTCTCTATACAACTCAGACCAACAGTCAAAAACTTTATGTCATCATATTGTCATCTTCAGCTCTCTACCTCAACTTTATCGACTTTGAGAAGGCTTTTGACAGCGTCGACCGAGAAGTAATTTGGAAACTGCTTCATTACTACGGAGTACCGCAAACCTTTATCAATCTCATTCAACAACTATATGAAGATGCCACATGCAAGTAATTCACAATGGGAAGCTCAGTGATGCTTTTGAAGTGAAGTGAAGACAGGAGTAAAACAAGGATGCCTAATATCACCTATGATATTCCTGATTGTGGTCGACTGGGATCATGCAGCAAACAGTGGGGAGCGAGAAGAGGGGGATACGCTGGACGGCGGAAAAGAACCTAGAAGACTTGGATTTCCCCGATGACTTGTGTCTGATGTCACATAAACTTGAAGATCTACAGGCGAAATCTAACAAGTTGGCAGAAGAGGCAGCGAAGACGGGACTTCAGGTGAATATAGAGAAGACAGAGGTGATGAAGATACCGCACCACCACCACCACCAACAACAACAAACTCCAATCACCGTCAACGGGAGAAACTTAAAGGAAGTAACCTCCTTCACCTATCTAGGAAGCACTGTTTCAACTACAGGCGCCACTGGCACAGACGAGGATGTCAAAGTCAGAATCAGAAAAGCAAGACAGGCGTTCATTAGCCTGAAACCAATGTGGAGATCTTCTGCACTCAGCATGTGGAACAAGATCCGGATTTTCAACACCAACCCAGTCAAGTCAGTGCTTCTGTATAGCTCAGAGACTTGGCGCGTTACGAAAGGGATTTCGAATAAACTACAGACATTCATCAACAACTGCTTACGCTGCCTCGCTACTGAAGATCAGATGGCCAGAATAACGAGAATAAGCAACAAGGAGCTGTGGGAACGAACCAACCGAGAACCTATCACCCAACAAATATGCAGGAGGAAGTGGAGATGGATTGGGCATGCACTGAGAAGGCGGACTGGAGACATCACGCGTCAGGCCAGTTACTCGAGTGGAATCCCCATGGGAAGCGACGAGTTGGACGTCAGTGGCGAGGGTGACATGGAGGAGGTCATGTGAGGAGAAAATGAGAGCTTCTGGGCTGTCGTGGAACCAGGTTCAAAAGATCTCAGAGAACAGAGTTCACTGGAGACGTGCTAGTGAAGCCCTATGTTCCATTAGGAACCTAAGGGACTAATAATAATAATAATAATAATAATAATAATAATAATAATAATAATAATAATAATAGTCATCTTCTAGTTTGGTGACGTTTAACCTTTTTACAGCCTAAGCCGCCAACTTTAGGTAATATTGCGTGGCGCGACAAATGGTGACTAGACGTTTGTAACACATATCTCTGCCACCTGAATCGATGAAGGTTTCTCTTGTCTGTAAAACTGTACGCCTAACTTCTGCGTTACTGAGAAGGTGATGGTACGACGACATAACCTATGTTATGAAGGTAACAGTAGTAAAACACCTAAGTCCTTATCTCCTCTTTCTCTAATCATCATATTTCACAACCTTTAACGCAGTATACTTAGCTCTTAATAAGCAGTCCGATATCAAGGAGGGTGGTAAGATTGCGTTCAGAGATGTCATTGAGCATTAACCCATCAAGGATGATCTCATTTCCCAACTCTAATTGTCATTGTATTTTCTTAGGCTGAAATGCTTTTAATTATCAGTAATCACGCTATATATGATTAACCAAGTGAATGACTCTCCTGTCTATAAGAGTTCGTTTGGTGACATAGTGTATCCGGTAAATAATGGATTCTTTTTCATTCAATTATAGAATGATACTTCTACAGCTTATCTAAATATAAAATTTTAAAGCATAGTTTTTTTTCAATTTGAAGACACAATCACAGAAAGGTATGTGTAATGTGTAGAATGAAGCTGTTGTTTGTTGGTATTTAGGAGTGATTTTAAACGCCATCCTAGCTACTAATGAAACAACCAATCATATCCCTCTATTCTATGAAAATTTATCTTACAGGCTAAAATACTGCAACCTGATTGGTTAATTTGGCAGTTACTAGAGTGGGTTTGGTTTCCAGCCCATACTTCATAGGTTTGAAGCAAGGTCCAATTACCAAGTGTTGGAGTGTTTGACTTACTGCCTAATGTACAAACACACATAAGATTATTGAGTAGATTTCCACTATGTATGTAAATAAAATCCACCTAACCAACTAATTCATTGATCACTGGTAGTTAAAAGATTTCACATAGGCAACAAATATTTTATTCTACAAAATTTCACATTCAATTTTCACTTCCTTTTATTTACTTGTTGATGGTTAGCAGTGGAATTAAGTATGTATATCTCATCCCACTTGGGTATCATTACAGTTTAGATGTACCTATATTCTAGTAAGGTGTGAACCCAGCACATCCTACTGCTTAAGTCGCCAGGACGTTATCCGCAAGGCTACTAAGTGCTGAATACAGTTATATTTACTTCCATATGATCGATTATTCACAGTATCTTCATTTCCATGTTTTCAAAATGGATTGACATGATTACTTCCTTGTGGTTCTGTTGGGTCATTACTCTTTTTAGAAATTCAGCTGTAATTATGCTGATGTCATTTGGGTTCCTAGTGGAACATGAAAAAAAGAAAAGAAAATTCAGTCAGGAAAAATATAAAATAATAAAAGAGAGAAAGAAAGAATGAGAAAATGGTGAGATTCGGTGTACCGTTAAGATAAGGCTAGATAATGTCTGTATATATCTGCTCCAATGACATCCGTTGTCAGCCATATCACCTAGAATCAGTCTCCAACCACTGATTTCTCTTGTCTCACAGACCCTAACCGGATGACTAGTCTTTGTCGCCCCACATGCCTGAAACCAACAGTCAACGACTTTATGCATTGATGCCTGCCATGTTTCAGTGTGGCCATCGTCAGCATTTTGCCAGCCTGAACCTACCTACTTCAACCAACATAACATTTGTGACGAGACAGTCGGTGACTAGGTATACGATGTAACACATGTGCCAACCAACCAACCAACCGGCCATCTGAGTGGATGAAGGTTGACAAGCGTGTTAACTGACTCAACTGATCTATTATCTGTAGAACTGTGTGTGTGTGTGTGACTTGTGTGTTACTCACATGGTGAGACCACGGAATGGGGCGTATGCTAGGAAGGCAGTGTTGGTTAAACACTTGAAGCCTTTAGATGTCTTTATGGCCTTCAATGTGCATGTTTGAGAGCCATAGAGTAGTAGGAGAGATGTTACTGGTGTGTAGTATAGTCGCCCGTTAATAGAGAATCGGATATTGTGGCGGCGCCACAAGCGGTGTAAGTTTGCAAAAGCCAGTCAAGCCTTTTGTACTCATGTAGAGATGTTATCGGCACTTTACTCATACCTTTTATTTTTCTCTTTGCGAAGATATTAAATTATTAAAGATGCTAATATTTTATACTTTTCCCTTTATTACAAGGTATTTAATCGAACGCAAGATTTTGAACGAGAACGTCTTTGTTTCTTCAAGGAGACATTTAACAACTTGCATAGTGCACTTAATGTCTGCGCTAAAGCAGAGTGAGTTTTTTATATTTTGCTTGTGAATTTCACTTTTTTTTCGGTTTTTAGTTATTTAGGTTGAAATTCATCATAGATTGACATCAGTTGGAGGTACATTGAAAACCTGGAAGCTGTTTCGTCCGACTAGTATGGGACTCGTGAGCAGTTGGCATGCATGACCTTGCCATGTCCTTGATCGAACCCTGCACTTTCAGGTTCTGTGGCCATGCCCATGATGTAGAGATATTTTGGCTATAGGAGATATGTCATAGGTTCCAAACTACATCATCTTTGTGTGTATGTCTCATTTAGGTAGGGCTAATTAGTGTCAAATAACAATTTTCCCCTGTATAACACGCTCTGTTCTACTCCATGACTCTGAAACATGCACATTGAAGGCCATAAAGACATCTAAAGGCTTCAAGTGTTTAACCAACACTGCCTTCCTAGCATACGCCCCATTCCGTGGTCTCACCATGTGAACAACACACAAGTCACACACACACACACAGTTCTACAGAGAATAGATCAGTTGAGTCAGTTAACACGCTTGTCAACCTTCATCCACTCAGATGGCCGGTTGGTTGGTTGGTTGGCACATGTGTTACATCGTATACCTAGTCACCGACTGTCTCGTCACAAATGTTATGTTGATTGAAGTAGGTAGGTTCAGGCTGGCAAAATGCTGATGGTGGCCACACTGAAACATGACAGGCATCAATGCATAAAGTCGTTGACTGTTGGTTACAGCCATGTGGGGCGACACAGACTAGTCAGCCGGTTGGGGTTTGTGAGACAAGAGAAATCAGTGGTTGGAGACTGATTCTAGGTGATATGGCTGACAACGGATGTCATTGGAGCAGATGTATACAGACATTATCTAGCCTTATCTTAACGGTACACCGAATCTCACCATTTTCTCATTATTTCTTTCTCTCTTTTAGTACTTCATGTTTCTTTTGACTGAATTTTGTATTCTTCATCTTCCACTTCACTGCTGATATGAGGTGTGTCAAGTGGCACCGTTACGCAGTAATGCCTAGTTCTATGTTGATTTGGATGGGGTAAGTGGTATAATACGCGGGGTTATTTTTAGTGTCCTTCCAAGTTGTGGTTTCCATATAGCATTCACACACTTTAGTTCCCTTCTATATGTCATCTTCTAAATGGTGGATAATTTTGGCTTACTGTTTTCTTTACAGATTAGGTTTCTCTGTTAAGATATTATGTACGTTTTTAAATTACCCCCCTATGTATCAAATTGTAGACTTTGAAATAGGAATGAGTGACGTAATACTTATTTACTTGCTCAATAGAACAAATATAAGTGAACACAAGAAACATTCATTCTATGCGCATAAGCATTCAAGTAATGGATAATATTGCTCTGCAATGTTACCTTACCATATTATACTATCTACCAAGTTGACAGAAGAGGCAGGGCAGTAAAGAAGGGACTTAAAGTGAACGTAGAGAAGACAGAGGTGATGAAGATACCCAACCAACACCATCAACAAGCACAAAAGGCTTCAATCACCATGAACGGGAGAAACCTAAACGAAGTAGTCTCTTTCACCTACCTGGCTGGGCAGCATCGTTTCAACTACAGGTGGTGGCACAGGCGCGGACGAGGACATCAAAGTCACGATCGGAAAAGCAAGACAGGCGTTCATTAACCTGAAACCATTTTGTGGAGATCTACTGCACTCAGCATAAAGTGTGGACAAGATCCGGATTTTCAACACTAATGTCAGTCAAGTCAGTGCTTCTATATGGTGGTTGAGAGACTTGACGCGTTACGAAAAGCATTTCCAACAAACTACAGATATTCATCAAAAACTGCCTACACTGGCTCGTTACTGAAGCTCAGATGGGCAGAATAATAAGAATCAGCAACGAACCAACGAAGCAAGAAGCTATCGCTGAAGAAATATGCATAAGAAGGAAGTGTAGATGGATTGGACATACACTGAGAAAGAAGACCGTTTGGGGACATCATATGCCAGGTCAATCCCTAGAGGGGAACCGAAGTGGGAAACGGTGAGTTAGGAGTCCGACGTGAGGATGACATGGAGGAGATGGTGTGAAGAAAAAATGAAAGCTTCTAGACTGTCGTTGAGTGAGGTTCAGAACATTGGAGAGAAGAGAGTGGAATGGCTATGTGCTACTGAAGCTCATAATAAAGGTGGATAGTTTTGTATGAAATGTCCATTTGTATTTGTATAGTGTTTACTATTGTTCCCTTTTCAATTAGTCGATTTGAGTTCAACTTTGTGGTTGTAAACGGTTTCGAAGATGTTATTTTATACACTTAGATACTTTCACCTAGATGATGTTTTAGTATCATGAGCAAATTCGTTGTCAGTGTGGCTCATTGTCTTGTACATAAGCCTATACGTATTTAGATGCATTATTCCTGAAGGTTTCTTCTACTCAATTGTCTATCATTTTATAAAAGAAGAATATGAGAGTATTTCAGCGAAAAATCTCTTTTCAACAATTTCATTTTCAAAACTGTAAGGATTTGATAGTTAAAAAGAAGTTGGGGAGTGGGGGGTTGTCAAGCAAGGCAAAAACCAAAAACTGATGAGTAGTGAATATGAATCACAATAAATTAACATGATGACATAATTGGAAAGTGATTTATGATCTTAAGCAGAGTATAACAACAAGAATGAGTAACAAATTACTTAAGAAGTGAATAATGTTGAAACAGAAAGATGAAAAGATAAAGTAGGCGGCAGGGGTTGAGGTGACTGAAAACTAACACCATGAAAGGAGAAGGGGTTGAACACAGTTCAGATTTCTCTATATGAATGGCAAAGCCTTCAGCAATGAAGAGAATACTAAAACATACAGCCTTTAGAAGATTTCTTTTCACTTTATAGAAAACTTTGAACAAGGAGATTCTTTAGACAGCTCTTTTTTGTAACCATGTGGGATAGTGTTCTCTTATTGTATCGTAAATAATAAAAAAAACCCACTTTATTTTTTGAATTCTTTTATAGTTATGATTCTATCTACAATGAATTAGCCGAGAGTATTTCACATTGTGATGTGGAATCAGATTTGAACTGGTGGTCATCAAATCATGGAATTGATATGCCTTTTGTTTTCCCACACTTCGAAGTAAGTTCTACATATTCAGCATTATAATTACCTAGTGTGTAGCATATGTATATAAATATTTTGCATATATTAAGTGAATATTCTTTTTTTTTTGTGTGTGTGGAATATTTAATTGTACTGAGTGATCATTAAAAGTGAGATGAAAATCTGGACCGTGGCCGGATTCGAACCAGCGACCACTGAGTTACCGACCCGGTGCTCTACCAACTGAGCTATGAGGTCCGACTGCTGACTAGATTTTTATTTCAATTCAGTCACAAGTTGGGTTTTCCCCGACTACCATGTGTATTCGTGACGCTTTATTACCGCTTGATCGTATTGACATTGGCTGCCTAGTGAGGACTTCTCATCCGAATCGAAATGTAATTGAATTAGAATGAGATGGGGAACATCATATTGATTATCATTTGACTATCTGAGATAGTCGTGGTTTGGCAGACTAGTATTTACACTGGGTGGTGATTGAAATCTGGACCACCGCCGGATTCGAACCAGCGACCACCGGGTTGCCCATTACAAATACTGGTCGATCAAACTACGGCTATCTTAGATATTTAAACGATAATCAGTATGATGCTTCTCATATCATTCTAATTCAGTCATATTTCGATTGGGATGAGAAGTCTTCACTAGGCAGCCAATGTGAACACGATGAAACGGTACTAACGCGTCGCGAATTCGCATGTTAGTCGGACGAGACTCAACTTATGGTTGAATTAAGATAAATATTTTGTCAGCAGTCTAACCTTATAGCTCAGTTGGTAGAGCACTGGATCTATAACCCATTGATCGCTGGTTCGGATCCGGCTGTGGTCCAGATTTTCATCTCACCCTCAATCATCGCCCAGTACAAATACTAGTCTGCCAAACTACGGCTATCTTGGTCAAACCAGAATATTTAATCGTCATTTTCTTGTCTGAGATGGTCGCGGTTTAGCAGACTTGCCGTATTGATACTGGGTAATGATTGAAGGTGAGATGAAAATTTGGACCTTGGCCGGATTCGAACCAGCGACCTGGCCTCTTTGTTGGTAAAGCACTGGGCCGAAAAACTGGTTCGAATCCAGCTACGGTTCAAAATTTTATTCCACCTTGAATTATCACCCAGTATAAAATATTTAACTATAAGTTAAGACGCCATATTTCTAACAGACGATTTACATGCACAAACGAAGCGATAACTGCTGGAGATAAGATTACTATTTATGGTTGTTGAACAGATTTTTACTAAAAATAACATTATTACTGCAGTAGCGGAGGTTCCCTTCGAACTTCATAAATTGATAGGTCTTAAGTTTGTAATCAACAGGGACTGACATAAGTTAGAGGAACACTGAAAGCCTGAGAGCACTGGACAGCTGTTTTGTCCTAGTATAGGACCCCTCAGCAACACGCCGTCATCATCATAAGGATCATCATAGGACCAGGCATTACTGCGTAACGGTCTGAGTTGCCACCTATCATATCGGTATATCAAGTAACAAAGAAATGAAATAGAAGATGAAGAAGGAAAGAAGAGTCGGCCATATGAAAAATGAGTAGATAATGAGGTTAAGTATATTGATTAAGATGAACATGATGTGTGTATGTATTTGCGCCACTGACATTGATTCTGAGCCATATCGCCTAGAGTCAGTCTTCAACCACTGATTTCTCTTGTCTCACAGACCTCAACCGACTGACTAGTCTGTGTCACCCCACATGCCTGTAACCAGCAGTCAACGACTTTATGCATTGATGCCTGTCATGTTTCAGTGTGGCCACCATCAGCATTTTGCCAGCCTGAACCTACCTACTTCAACCAACATAACATTTGTGACGAGACAGTCGGTGACTAGGTATACGATGTAACACATGTGCCAACCAACCAACCAACCGGCCATCTGAGTGGATGAAGGTTGACAAGCGTGTTAACTGACTCAACTGATCTATTCTCTGTAAAACTGTGTGTGTGTGTGTGACTTGTGTGTTGTTCACATGGTGAGACCACGGAATGGGGCGTATGTTAGGAAGGCAGTGTTGGTTAAACACTTGAAGCCTTTAGATGTCTTTATGGCCTTCAATGTGCATGTTTGAGAGCCATAGAGTAGTAGGAGAGATGTTACTGGTGTGTAGTATAGTCGCCCGTTAATAGAGAATCGGATATTGTGGCGGCGCCACAAGCGGTGTAAGTTTGCAAAAGCCAGTCAAGCCTTTTGTATTCGTGTAGAGATGTCATCGGCCACTGAGCCACTAGGGCAGGGCTGATCCTACTTCCCAGGTAAGTTAAGTGATTGACATACTCAACCACTTCACTCTCTATTGTTAGCCGAGGAACCGTTAAAGATCAATCCGTGAGCAACAGTTTGCATTTAGGTGGTAAGAAACGCATCCCAGACATTCTCAAATTACCACTCAAAGTGTCGAGAAGACGCTGCACCTTGTCAGCGTCTTCACTTAACAGGACTATATCATCTGCATATTCCAGGTCTAACGAAAATTCTCCAGTGATTAGGTCAACGTCTGTGTAATCATGTGACGAGAGGTAAACCTCCATGAGAATATCTACGATAAAATTGAATAAGAATGGAGACTGGACACCCTTGATGGACACCACTCGATGAACACAGCTCCCGGACATTACACCATAGGCTCTAACACACTCACAAGTGTTGGAGTAGAGAGCCTTCAATAAAGTGATGTAGTTACCTGGCACGTCTTTCAGTGAGAGACATTGCCGTAAGACTCTTCGATCAACGGAGTTGAATGTCGCCCTCAGGTCGAGAAATACAGCTATTGTTGGACGTCGGTAAGCGTGCCTGTGTGAATACTTAGTCGATGTACCCACTTGCCTGGTTTTCTCGTGCTTGCTTGGGTAAACAGCTATCTAGTATAGAATCGTGAACTTCGAAACTGACCATATCTACATATATATTGATAACTCAAACCTTATTATTAGCCTCACTTAATACACTGCTTCTCATTGTTCAATTCATTGAACCTGTATATCCGGTCGTAAAGTTGTTGAGTGATCGAATAATTACTTGAGGCACATGGTTACAAGAAATTATATCATTGACTCAGGTGACTGGTACACGTGTTATGCATGCCTTATCACCGTCTGTCTCGTCTTACATTGTTATTTGAATTAGATGTAGGCTAAAACGATGTTAAAGGAAGGAGTTAGAGTGAAACATGGCGTCAGTGAATAACTTCTCTGACGGTTGGTTTGAATCGTGCATGGAGATATAAACTGCCTAGTTGGCGTCCACTTGAAAACCGAAATCGTTGGTTGAAGACTCATTCCAGTGTATACCAGAATCAATGTCATTAGGGTAGATACATCCTTATCATCATCTTAGTTATCATATCGAATTTCGTCACTGTCTCACTCGTTTTGATCTCTTCTTATGATAAATATCTCATTATCTAGACTTCATTATTGTCTGGTGAAAAACGGATGAAACACACTCAATCACCTTGTTCATATCTGTGCAGTAGGCAATGAACAACACGTATTGTCTATTACATTGTTTCCTAAACCTCAGTAGGCAGAGCGGGGTCCGAACCCGCGGCCGGCTGGTTGATAGTTATCCCCCTATACCACTGGACCACAGTTCCATATTCTTATCTGATAGGTTGCTATTTTCCTCTTGTGTTTCAGTACATCGAAATAACTAACTTGGAGTTGCTGACCATGAATTTGTTTATATAGACTAGTAGACTATGAATCACATGTGACATGCAAACAGTAGCAGCTCTATAAAATCTTCCAGATATCGTTGGTTAACGTTACCGAACTGTTCAAGGTTGGGTTTTGAGATAATTAGAGTGGTTAACGTAGTGAATGGGAATCGGGCCGATAGATGCTACCTTGACGTGGTAGTCAGGCTTACATATCACATTGACCGAATGAGGTATGCTAGTGGAACAGTTGTTTCGTTGAGGTCCTACCATACCAGAAAAGTCTGTTGGGTTGTGGTGGAACGAAAAGAAGTTACCATGATAATATAAATTCCTACGGTATGATGGGGTCTGAGGGCGAAATCGTACTGCTGTTACCTGGATGAAGCGTGATAGCAGTTAGGTGTTTCTTTTGAGTGACCAGGTGTACTACACTGATGCTGCCTTTCCTTTGGGAAATGAGGGGTGGGTTAGAAAAGGTTGACCCTAAAAATAACACACTCCTCCGTGAACCCCGGTCCTGCGGTGTAGGTAGTAGGGATTTTATCGATTCAGCGTTAGAACAACCAAATCTCTAAAAATCATGAGCTAGAGGTCAAGTATCTGCGAGTCGACTTTGGAACTACTGAACCATATTCTCAGCTGTCTCACTAATGATATTATTATGTGTGTATATGTATGTATATATATTAATATACTTTTAACTTTCCGTTGTTTCATTGGATCGAATTGTTCGACCTCTATTGGCATATGAGCTGGTATGCGGATGTTGGTTGGTTGTGGCTAGCAGAAGAATCGAGGACGCGCGTTTCGTCCCACTTAGGACTCATCAGCTGGATATACCTGCACCCCAGTGCAGAGTGATATTGTTCCCATTGAGACTCGAACCTCATACCCATCGCTTCAAACGCCATGGCGTTATCCACTATGCCACGGAGAAACGATGGCCACATCTTGTACAACAGGGTAGTAGTTATCACTATTTATTGATATATTTTTAATTCTTCGTTATTTCATTGGATCGACTTATTCGTCCTAGATTCCTCTGTTAGCCACAATCCACTTAGAACTGTTTTCCTTTATTTTCTCAGTAACCATGTCATTGTCAATTTGTGTAAAATTTCTGCCATCATCATCTCGAATAATTTATCTCAATAATCGATCTCTTAAAGAAGAAATACATTCCTATATTGACAATTTTGTAAAAAAAAAAATAAGTTTTTTTTGCTTTGGTTGGATAATAAATTTGTATGTTTGCGTAAAATTTACCCCCAAGTTACGCTTATCAATGGCATCATTATCATTGTCGCTAGCACGTGAAAGAATGTGAATATATC